GAAGGTCCCAAAGGGCCCGTGGGGGGGGCCACCGGAACCCGAAGACGGCTCACACGTCTCAGGATTAGAGGCCTCCTAGAAGGGGTCCGAGCAGAGATTGGGTCGGAGAAACTCGCCGCATCGCCGATGCATCGGCGATGCGTCGCCGATGCATCGGGGATGCATCGGCGATGCGCTGGAGACGCCGGCAGTGCACCGGCGACGTCGGCGTGGAGAACATCGGGCCCCACGTCGAGCCGCATCGCCGATGCACCGCCGGTGCGCCGGCGATGCGGCGCGATCCTCCGACCCCATCTGCTCGGACCCCATCCAGGAGGCCCAGCAGGATCCGTGTCCCTCGTGGCCCTGGCCAGCTCGCTGCAGCAGGAGGGGGCCGCGAGGACGACGGGCAGCCGGGCTGGCACGCTGGAAGCCCCGGAGGGCAGCAGGCGCGGGCACGCGCAGGGGGGGGCACCTCGCGCCAGCATCGCCACGCCGCGCGCGAGCATTCACGGCACACAGCATCTGGGCGTGCTCGCCCAGGAAGGTCGTCGGGCGCATGGGGCCAGGGGCGCGCCACCGCGGCGCCAGGGGAGGGGGGCGGGGATCCCGGGGGCGCAAGGTCTTGGCCATCGGATTTTTTTGTTGAGCTTGAGGGGCCCTCTGGCGGCTTTTCAAAGAAGGCAACCGCTGCCCGAGGCGTCCTCGATGAGAGTATCGACAATCCGCAGGCTCCCCGATGGGCATCCAGCGGCGTCTGCCACACAGTCGGCGTCGCCAGCCATCAGGGTTCGTGAGAACCTCTGCGGACGGTCAGACCCCCACGAGCCGGCTGCTGAGGATGTCTGAAGACTAATCCAAACGTCTAAAGGGAATCTTGATACCCCCGAGACGTGGGAAAATCTCAGGTTCTCAATGGAGCATGTTGATCCCCTGCAGGTCCGTTCAAAACTGTGAACGAAAGTCAGGCATGCTTGGGGATGGCGAATAGAGAACTGCTCATGACCTTCTGGACATTCAATGCGCCTGACGAGTTAGTTAACCTGAGCCCTTCGGACGGCGTGCTTCCAGAAATCATGTTGGCGTAAACGTGCATAGCCTAGAAGCAGATGCGACTAGTCTGCGCGTCGATCACCCCCATCCCACGCACCATGCAGTAGACCGAGACTTCGAGCGAAGCGTAGCGAATTTCAGGTATTGTAGTATTGTATGATGTTGCATGCATACGGTGGCCGCGTTGCGAATCCACATGTACATATGTATACTGGCATAGATGAAAGTCGACACGCGAAAAACGGCCAGGACTTGGATCCAGCATCGAATGCAATATACAGGCGCAGCTCACCCTGCACCCCGAACTTGGAGGCACTCTGCGGATTCTACGGCCCAGGGAGCTGGACATTCCAAAGGGAGGAAACAGCACGGGTGGGCGGTCAGAGTCGGTGGCCCCCAGGTCTCTGGGGCTGAGCTTGACGGGGGCATGATGCTGGGAACACTATACAAAGCGAGCACAGGTCCTACATTCCAGCGGGGATGTATTACCCCGAACCATGCCTGAACAAATTAGCTTTCGGACTTGATGAGCCTCGGGGACCCAGCACGCCGGAGACGCCGCCAGGCAGATGCATGGAGTCGTCCAGCAGGTTGCGATACGCCTTCAGCACCACCAAGGGAACACGGTGCTCTCGCAACACCGTGAAGAGCTTGCCCAAGCCTTCGGGCCTGGGGTGGCCACGGTTTCTGTTTCCCCTCCCACCCTCCTCTCCTGTGTTACTCTCTCTTTCTCTCTCTCGTTCGCTCTCTCTCTCTCTGTCTCTCTCTCTCTCTCTCAATCTTTCCTTCTCCCTCCCTCTCCTGACGCCCTTTCTGTCACCTCTTCGATCGCCCCCACACACACATGTTCATGTCACCAACCTTGTACATGTACGTTTCGTGGTTAGCCCCGTCTGCCCAAGACTGGGACCAACTGCTCAGGACGCAGCAATCGATACCCATTTGAGGTCACACCAATGGCTCTTTGAACAAAGCTTTTGGATGGGACTTGAAAGAGGCCCCCCCTGGTCCCAACACTTTCGCCACGGTTCCGCCGTCTTGACCTGCCAGCACAAACAAAACGAGGCACGCAGTGGTCATTAGCATTATCAGCAATGCTGGCCAATAGGGCCTGGTGACGACTACCAAACCACCAAAAAATCAGAGCAAAATTGTGCAAGTCGGAACTAAACAAGGATAATCCCTTGTACTGGCATTGAAGCGATGCAGGACGATGCGGAAGGTTGAAGCAAATAAATCCAAGCGGCGGCTACCCGCAACTTCGGAATTGCAGGGGAATTCTGCTGCGCTGAATTGCCTCATCGCTGCCGTGGAAAACCTGTACCGCTTCCTTTGTCAGGTGGACGCATGCGAACCCCACCCCACCCCCTCACGGATGCCAAATTAAGGGGGGGCGTGGGGGTCACCTTCGCTAGGGGGCTCCCGAGCGAAGTGAACCCCACCCTCTCCATTAGACATCGTCGGGGGGTGGGGTAGGGTTCGCATGTGGCCGCCGATTTGTCGTCTGGACCCAGTTTGATCGGGAGCTGCAGCAGAGGCGGATAGCCAAGGGGGTAGGAGACAAGCATCACCTGCACGAACCCAGAAGCTCCGATCGTCCACGTGTTCGACGAGGCCCCCCAGGCGAACGCGTGCAATCCCCAGGCCCTGGGCTGTTCACCTCCGTCGCCGCAACCGATCCGGCCTGGCCTCCTCCGTTTCCTGCTCCTGCTCCTGCTCCTGCTCCTGCTCCTGCTCCTGCTCCTGCTCCTCCTCCTCCTTCTCCTGCTCCTCCTCCTCCTCCTCCTCCCTCCTCCTCCTCCTCCTCCTCCTGGCAACACGACCCGCCGCCGCTGGAGCCCCCCAGCGACCCGATGGCGTTGTCCGACAGGTCCACGTAGGCGCCGCTCCTGAGCGCGACCCGCGGCGGGGGGCCCACGGTGTCTTCGGCGGCTGCGCCCACGCCTTTGGGGGGCACTTGAAGGAAAACTGGGACACACAAATAAATACACAGAAATAAAAAGATTCCCTAGATTTTCCTATATTTTCTGGTGTTTTGTCTTCCCCACCACTTCCCATATTTTCCCATATTTTCTGGGAAATCGACGATTAATTGTGTCTGTGTGTTTCTTTCCCTCCTGAGCACAGGAGGCAGACAGACAGGCGGACAGCTGCCATCGCCGCAGCGGGCGGCCCAAAGATGGGCGACAGGCGGGCGTGAGCAGGGTGGCCCCTCAGAGAGGGGCCCCAGAAGAGTAGGTGCAGCGGGGGCCGGTCCACGAGGAACCGTCCGCAAGAAGCCCAACCCTGAGACCCTCAGGACCCCAGGAGCGTCATGCTTTCCATCGCAAAACCATCGAAACCCAGGAAACCCAGGGCACCCTGGAGGCAAGCAGGGTGCTTCTTGGCATGGGCCTCCACTGGCACAGGTGCAGCCCCACCGCCACGCGAAGCCCCTGGGGTCGTTTGAGCAGCGGGGGCACAGCGTGCGCAAGAAGACGTGGCAACGTTACGCGGCGGCTCACCCACCCACCTGGGCCGCCAGCGCGGCACGCCGCGCAGAAAAAATGAGCGCTGACGTGCGGCATTGATCGGGTACCTTCTATCGGGGACGCGCAAACTTGGCGCGCGGTCGGCAAATCCATGGATCGGGGGAGCTGCCCTCCCCAGAATGCGGCCGGTGCCGCCTCGTTCGGCGGCGGAAATCCTGGATTTCCCATGGAAGCGGGACCCATCACTAATCCACGCCCCCTTGATCCATGCTCGCGATCGCCTGATTATGCACGAACGTCGGCGCGATCGACCAGCTTGCTTCTACGTCGCTCACCTCACACCGTCGGCGGAACTGCGCAGAGTCTGGAGCCGGTGTCCCCTCAGGGTGGGGACGTCTGCAGGAATCTGAAGGAACCTCGGCACTCTGAAGATCCTGGACGGATCTGGCGGGAGGCAGTCGGCGATCGAAATCCTTACGCAAACGTCCCTCGAGCGCTCAAATATACTGAAACTCCGCGGGGCCTGCTCCAGCAAGGTAGCCAGTGCGTGGCATGGTTTAGTGGGAAGAAACGCCCACGCCATCCCGTGTTGGGACCCGCGCCAGGCCCAAGGAGTCCCCGTGAATACCCAACGGAAACCCCGATGGCCCCAGAATGCCTGGGCACGCGCGCGACAAAACCATAAAACAGGTTCGTGCAGTGCCGACTTCGGCAGTGGTTTCTGACACGGCGGGGATCGTTCAACCTTGAACGATCGGCCGTTTCCGAAACGTAAGCTCGTTCGATATCGACCGACCCTGTGTCGCAAGCGCCGTTCAACGTTGAACGATGGCGGCGGGGTTGCGGGACGGGAAAATTACCACAACCACTTCTTCTTGTTTGCGCCGCCTTCAAGCCGACCGAAAAAAAGGCAGTGGTTCTCCTGGTGCCAAGCTTCACGGAAATGACCACAACCACTGCTTTGCTTCTGCTGGCTGGATGGCGACAACAGAAAAGAAAAGCAGTGCTTGTGGTCATTTCCCCGTCCCCTAGGGGTCGCCGCCGGTCGACACGAAGCGAGACTGCCATACGCAGGCAGCGCGCTCACATGGCCACGGCCGAAACCCCGACTGGAGGTCGCGTGCTCCGTGCACGACGCCGTTGGCAGTGCCAGCGCCGAAAAACGCACCGCTGGTCCTTCCTGGCCCAGGCCGTCCGCGGCCTCGGCCCGTGGCCTCATTCGTGACCCCCCTGGTGCTTCTATCTCTGTCCTCCTCCCCCCCATTCAACCCGCTCCACACGTGAACGTTTTCGTGTTCGGCGTTTCGACATTGGGCGAAAAGGGGGTGGTCGGGGGGGTCTGGCTCTGGACCTCTGCTAAATGCGCCTCTTTGCCACAGTGCGTCCCATTTGGGAAACCCCACCCGCATAAAGCAGGCGCCAAAAGCACCCACTATCTACTCCAAGGGGGGGAGGGGGTGCGGGGGTCCGCGCCGATCGGCAACAGAATGAATCAGAGAACGATCACCATCATATCCGCCATCGTGCACTGTGCACGCTGAAGCGTGGGAGCATGCCAAAGTCCGCCTACTAGGGTTTCTGCCTTCAAAGATTAGCCAGCGTGCGCCAAAGCTATTGAGGCTCAAGCATTCTACGTTGTTGAGCAGATGTGGTTTAACTCATGATGAGAAACTTGGAGTTGTCAACTCCACTGCTCGCGCAATCATCCTTCCCACCCCCAACTTGGTTTGCAAAACCCATGCGGCGCGATTACTATGTCTGCTTGGCGCTGGCCTGCACATCGCTGCGGCCGCGCTAGCTCGCGCAGGCTCGCGAGCATAGCGGCCAGCTGGTCTGGCGCGACCGACGCGGTCGCGGTGGCGCGGACCGCCGGGGACTTCCCAGCTCGTTTCGCACGCCGCGCTGAGGCGGGGGCACTTCAGCGCGAGTCGGTGACTCGAGCGGGCGCGGTATTTTGGCGACGCCGACATCGGCAGACACGAGGATCATAGTAGCGATGATAGTGACGATGGTGACCATGACGACGGCAAGGCCAATGACGGCACCGATGCTGGCAACGCCGATGACGAGGATGATGTCCACAAGTCAGTGATGAAGATTTGAAGGATTTCGACATGCGCGCGCGGCCGACGCGCGCGAGTGGCCCGCATAGTATTGTTTGACACATGTCACAAAGGTCCTTGACCATTCAGTGTTCATATTGATTTGCTAACGAAGATGCGAATGTACCAACAATCAACAGGTTCTGAACCTTCGAAACGGCTGTCTCTTAGCGGCGGCCTTGTGAAGGGGTTTCCTTTTCTGGCGGGCTTGCAAAAACAAGAGAAGTGTGTGCGACGGTTTTACACAAGGATTGCATCATGTAATAGGCCACTGGCGCGCTCCGCGCGCCAGGGTCGATCCAAGAATCCGCGCGAACCTACGAGAATTCGTCCTCTTCTTGGGCCAGGACTGAATGCGGTAATGCCGATGTCGATTTGGTCGTCGTCACTTCGTGGATCGCCCTCGCGAATCGGCGACGGGCGGCATGGACCATAACCGAAATCGGCGTCGTCGAGATCCCACGACATCCTGGCCATGGTCATCGTGTCTCCTTCTTCGAGCCAAGAAGAAGAGGCGGGGGAACAGGGGAAACCAAAAAGTACCCATACCGCTACTCCCTGGACCTCTCCCGGGGTGCGTTCTGACCAGGACTTCGAGGCGAATCCAGCGGTGGCAACGAGGGCCTCGCAGGATGCCCAAAAAGGGGAAAACGGGCGAGGGGGTAGAGGTATGGGTACCTTTTCCTCCCCGAAGGAACGGCAAGACCGAACTCCTCCTGACGTAGGGGAAGTCCCTGACCAGGCCCGGAATCCGCCCGTCCAGCCAGTCACAGAACTGCAGAAGCGCCCCGTCGTCCAGCGGCGGCGTGCGGTGCTGCAGCGCGATGTGGACCTGTTTCTCTCTCCGAAGGGGCCCAGGGACACACAAACAAATGCACATAAATATCTCAGGATTGCCCCTATCTCGCCATGCCTTCTGGGTTCTCTCGTCTTATCCCCCACTTCCCATAGTTCCCCATATTTTCCTGGGGATCGACGATTCATTGTGTCTGTGTTTTTCCCCCCCTCTGAATGGAGGCAGTAGGGGAGTCTTGGCAGGCAAGGTCCGATGCGTGGATGTTTCTTCCCATGATCGTGGGGCACTACTTTTGTACGTCGGGTTCGTGTCGTGCCGACTTCGGCGCTGGTTTCTGACACCGCGGGGATCGTTCAACCTTGAACGATCGGCCGCTTCCGAAACGTCCGAATCGTTCCACATCGAACGATTCTGGGTCGCCCGCGGCGTTCAACGTTGAACGCCGCTGGCGGGTTCGTCACCGGTCGACACGACACGAACCTACCGTACATGATCCACATTAGGCTTCCACCAGTGTCCTTGCAGTGCGTGTACAGCGGCATCGCGTACATCATGATTTGACACATGCGTCATGCATGGATTATGCCGGCTTTGGCTTTGCTGCGGCGCTCGGATGTTTCCCCCATGCCGTTATCCAGAGCGCCCCGAATCCATGGAGCATTTGCACCCACAATGAAGATTCAGGAGCCACACACCTGTCAATGACCACATGATAGGCTCCGAGAAGAAGCAGGGGAAATGAAGAGGTGACGACGGGGAGAAGGACGAACACATAGAATTAGACATCAAGCGAAAAAGAGGAGCAGAAGCAAAAGGAGAAGGACAAAGGAGGGCGCCATGGGCAACCAAGGGCAGGAGCAGCAGGAGCAGCCGGGGAAAGCGCATGGGCAGGAGAGGGAGTGGTGGAGGAGATGAAGGGCGGGAGAAGGACGAGGGACGGGGGGGGGGAAAAGGACGAGGACCCAAAGGGAGTTTTGAGTTGTGGAGCGACATCAAGTCAGGGGAAACCGCTAGAAGACCCCACCCTCGCCTTCAGAGTCGGAGGAGTACTCCTCAGGGCCCTGGGGGCCCCGCCCGGCGGCCCCGCCCGGGGACCCGA